GAAATAACGAGAGGCTAGAGCCAGCTTAATGTCTGTCCGTAACTCAGACTCAATCTATCAAGTAGGTTCTGACTCACGGCTGACCCTCCAGCAGGTTTCCAAGGCTGTAAATCATAACAGGCTGCAAATTTTAACTATTTAGCTCCCTCGAAGCCGCTGCTGGATTCCAACAGCTGGAAACTTGCAGCCTTTGGGTTAGCAGAGCAACTGGTTCGTGTGCACTAGACGCATCCGGTATACGGCCTTTCACCTCAAAATCGTAGTACTGTCGAGTCTGAATCAGCTCGTAACTGACCCCAAGTGGGGTTTCCAAGGCTGTAAATCACATGGGAGTTTGCCCATCTTTGTCCTACACCTTCCTACTGGTCTTGGTCTGGAAGCTACACTGATGTTTGTTAAGAGTCCTCACAACACAGAAGCCTCCGTGTACAGATGGGTGGAACTGTGTGAGGAGCATTGGCAGGCAAGGGGTCAGTGGTCCTCAGAGAATGGAGACGCTGACATCCCATGTGAGAGAGTTGCAAAGAATGGAAGAGTGAGGCTGACTGGTTGGATTCACGTCCCACTGAACTTCAGGAAGTTCTGCTCAGGCTCTGAACTGGTTGTCCAGTGAGGCCTTTGTTTTTAGTCACCTGAGATAAGAGAGGGTTACACAGAGCTTGAGATGTCCCTATAGCTTTCTGCTCTCTTTTGAGATCTGGGCACAGTCAATGGCATCCTTCAAGAGAGCCGATTCTTGGCAAAAGTTTGGGCCGTCAGCTATGAGGAAGGCTGCGGCACAGTGAGACAGTGTTTGGGAGGAAACCATGTCTGACGCAGCCTCTCTCAGCTGCAGCTGGGCAGGCTTCAGGAACCAGTTTAGGGGTCCCCTGCCTGGGAGGCAGCAAGAAGGAGGTTGGTTCCTGCCTGTCAGCAGCTGGACACAAGGATCAAAAATGAGAGCAAGATGACTGAGCTCCTTGGGAGATTTTCTGTACAGAACAGTAATAAGATGGTCCAGACAATCAAAACCCAAACCCAAACACAATAGTCTTTTCTTACTTGTGGTGGCCCTGTGTATGTCAGAGCAGAACCCCCAGAGGGTTTTAAGATCAGTGGCTTTGGGGAAGCAGATTCCCTGGCCCGTCTTTCATGTGCCTTTTAACGACCTTTCAGTTAGAAGCCAGGCATTTAAACTCATGTACCTTCCAGAAACTCTGGTCCAAGGGAACAGTGACAAACAGTATTTATCAAAACAGTAATAATAATGCATAAAGTAACAAAAGAAAAGAAAAATCCTTACTGTTAGGCTAGTAGACAACATTTGGATGGAGAAAAGATTGGAATTGGCAATAATTTCATTTTCCTTGGATCCACAATCAACACCCAGGAATCTATAACCAAGAAATCAACAGATGTGCTATTTTGAAGAAATCTGCTGTCAATGACCTATTTTTAAAGAGCAAGGATGTCACTTTAAAGACTAAGGTGCACCTCAGTCAAGCCACAGTCTTTTCCATTGTTTCCTGTGTATCTGAAAGCAGGACAGTGAATAAGGAAGAGGAAAGAAAAGTTGACACCTTTGAATTGTGGTGCTGGCAAAGAGAAATGAATGTCATGAACAACCATAAGAACAAACAAATCTGCCTTGGATGTAGTGTAACCAAAAATACTTCTTTCAGACAAAGATGATGAACCTTTATCTCACATACTTTGGGCATGTTGTCAGGAAGGGCAGGATTTCCTGAAAAAGAAAAATATATCATCCTGGAAAAAAGTAAAGGGTCAGTAAAGAGAAGATTCTCACACAACAGTGGGTTTAATCTTGGTGGAGAAAGTGAGGACAACAAGGTTTCCATGTATTGTTCGTAGGTGTGCTGAGAGTTGGCAGCAGCAAATTGCACCCTCAGCCCTCTGGAGAGTCTCTGCGTACACAAGGCTATTAAAAACCCCAGAAGAAGCTGCACTGCAATCCCAAAAGCGTGTGGTTCGAATCCACCAGATACTCCACTGGAAAAGTAGGGGCAACTTCCTCCTCTGCCAGTCGGATTCAATTCAACAGTACACAACAATAACAACCAAATAAAAATTAATTACTGAAATAAATAAGTATCATTTAAAAAGGGAGGGAGGAAACAAACCTAGACATCCCACAGCCCTGGGAGTACAGCCCTCGACTTTGCTTAAACAGCTTTGCTCCCAGAAGCCCCCACCCTTTGCAGATACACAGCAGAGAAACACTGTCTTAATTGCAGGGTTTTTTTTTCTTTCCAATTGGCTCAAAGAGGACAGTGACTAATTTAAGGCCACACGAGCAGCTGCTCATACTGAGCTGTCCTGCTCCTGGAGAACTGGCGGGCAGGCAGGTTAAGGGAGCAGAACTGTGAAGATCTCAGCAGGGCTACAAGAATCTCAGCCTGCATGGGGGATGCTGCACTGAAAAATGGGCTCAAAGCAAAACTCTAGGAATTTGTAGTAATCAGACTCTGTTTCAAGCCCAAATGGGTGTCGTGAGGTGTAGCATCCCTTTGCAATAAGCAAATGGGTCTTTGGTCCCAATTCCTGAGAACCTCACCATACCTGAGGGCTGGTACTTGCTGCCATGTTAGTTGTTCGGTGCGACTCATAGCGACCCCATGAACAATGGACCTGTACCTTGTCCTCTCCTTGCATGCTCATCATTTCTGACACATTCGAGCCCATTGTTACAGTCACTGTGTCAATCCATCTTGTTGAAGGTCTTCCTCACTCTCACTGACTCTTCACCTTTCCAAGCTTGTTGTCCTTTTCCAAGGACAGGCCTCCTCCTAACAATATGCCCAAAATATGTGAGGTGAAACTTCACCATCCTTGCCTCCAAGAAGTACTTTGTACTTTCTCATATTTATTTGTTCTTTTGGCAATTCATGGGATATTCAGTATCTTCTCCATCACTGCAATTCAAAGGTATTGATTGATTCTTTTCTGTCTTCCTTAGTTACTATCCATCTCTCAGATGTGTAACAGTAATTGAAAAGAGCATGGCTTGAATCAGATGCCCTTAGACTTTATTTATTTTTTGTTGTTGTTGCTGCTGCACATTTTCTTCCTCCCTCCCCCCTCTTTCTGTAACTCATCCTACAAGGCACCCCTTGTTCCAGATTGTTCTCATATATATAATAATAATAATAATATATTGCTTTTGGACAGTTCTTCCCTTCATCTGTTAAAATTCAGTGTTCATTATCTATTCATTCTTTTCCCATTCTTTCTCCAACCCTGCCCCATCTCTGTCCTATTTTATAACAGTGATGTTATGCAGTATTTGTGACTGAGATATTTCCCTCAGTATAATGTCTTCCACATCCCCCATGTTGTATAATATTTTGCAAGTTGATCATTTTTCAGTGTGGTGTAGTATTCCATTGTGTGGATATAACCATAGGTTTTTGGGTGGTTTTTAAATTCATTTATTTATTGATGGACACTTGGTTTGCTTCCATCTCTTAGTTATTGTGAATAACACATGCAATAAACATGGGTATGCATACATGTTTTTGAGTTGTGGCTCTGGTTTCTTCAGGGTATATTCCCAGTAGTGGAATTGATGGGTCAAATGGTATTTCTATTTCCAACTTTTTGAGAAAGCACCAGACCACCTTCTATAGTGACTGTACCATTTTACATTCCCACCAGCAGTGAATAAGAGTTCCAATCTCTCCACAACCTCACAAGCATTTGTTATTTGCTGTCCTATTGAACTTGTCTTTTGTTACTGGGGTGAGATGATATCTCATAGTTTTTTTTAATTTGCATCTCTCTGATAGCTAGAGATTTTTAACATTTCTTCATATATTTGTTTGCCATCTAAATGTCTTGTTTGATAAAGTGTCTATTCATATCCTGGGCCCATTTTGTGATTAGGTTGTTTACCTTTTTCTTGTTGAGGTGCTAGAATATCCTATATATTTTAGATATAAGTCACTTATCAGATATGTCATTGCCAAATATTTTTCCCCAGTCTGTGTGTTCCTTTTTTACCCTGTTGGGGAAATTTTTTGATGTGCATATGGATTTGATTCTTAGAAGGTCCCATTCATCTATTTTATTCTCTCCTGATTGTAGAGTTTTTATTATGATTGGAAGGCTGTTCATACTATAGATTAGGCTTTTAGAGTTGTTCCTAGCTTTTCTCTAATGACTTCTATAGTCTTTAGTTTTATACCTAGGTTCCTGATCCACCTTGAATTGTTTTTTGTGTATGGTGTGAGGTGTGGGTCTTGCTCAAGTATTCAACACCTTAGTCTTTAAACAGACATCATTGCTCCTTAACTTCCAGACATAGTTGGGGTGATAAAGGGCTGTGTGGGTAGCTGGTGTCACAAGCCAGAGAAGGAGGCTGAGGGTCCCACAGGATGCACCTAGTATATGAAGTAGGATTGTTGTCTACACACAATTTAGTGTCTGAAATGGTTGATCCCAACCTCTATGGATTTGTTTGATACTGATTTACAGGTGTCAGCAGCCTAATCTTTGTCAAGGAGAACAAACATCAGAAGTCAAGAATAACTTGGGATGGCCTAGAGCCCCATTTACTCTCAACATGACCTGACATGCCATGTCCTTATTCTCCACACTATTCCAGGAAGCCCTGCTTTTGTGAAATGTTAGTGAGCATTGAGCAAGAGACGTATAACTGGAAAATCAACATATGAAACGTTGAACAAAAGTGAGATTAACAGGTTAACTTGCTGCAGGATAGGGCAGGCTCTTTAAAATGCTAGACCCACTACAAATCACTGGGTAGGGAGATGATGTGTAGAGTTCCTGAATATATGTGACTAGAAATTTACTTTTGCAAAAATTTGTCTCTGAGTTTGTTTCATGGACACAAGTGGAGAGATTCAAGTCTAAATCTATTAGGTTTTTAACCCCTTCCTGTTTCACCTCAAAGAGTCCTGATTTCACTATACTTGAAAAGAAATTGACAGGTGCAACCAGCACATTTCCAGCTTTCTGACATTTGTTCTTCCATGTTGCAGAGCAAGGAGATTGGCCTGCAGATGCACGAGGAGCTCCTGAAGGTCACCAATGAACTCTACACGGTAAATCAGCATGCTGGGCTGCAGCTGCTTGGGATTGGGGCTTGTTCTTCAACACTAGCTTGAAGAGAGAGGAAAGGAGGGCCAGGGTGGCCCCAGTGCCTTTTGCTATGTCTCATGCAAGAGTGACAATGAGTCTTCATAGCAGAATGTAATGTCCCCAACCTTAGATCTGGTTCCGAACATCAACACAGGCCTCTGGGCTTCTGTAGTTTATAAAAGAATTTACAAGAGATTCAAAAGACCTGTTGATTATGAGAATGTGTTACTTACTGTTTTAGTGACCTAGTGTTGCTATAACATGCCACCGCACAAATTGGTGACTTTAAAGAGCAGAATTTTATTTCCTTAACAATCAAGGGACTAGAAGTCCAAATTCAAGGCTTGGCTCCAGTGGGACAGCTTCCCATGTGAGACTTCTGGCAGTGCTTTGCTGAAGACAAATCCTCACATGGAATCTGTCTTCTCCATGTGTATGTCTGCATCTGTTCTGGCTTTTGTTTGATTTTTTTTCCTTTACATAACTCAGAAGTGGTTAAGCTAGGAACACACACTCCTTCAACATGGCCTCATTAACATAACAAAAGGAAATCCCTATTTCCAAACAGGATCATACCCCCAGACATAGAGACCAGGAAGTCAACACAGATGTTTAGGAACACAATTCATTCCATTATCCCTACTGACGAAAAGGACGCAGAGCTAAGGGGGAAGCTCTGAGTGCAGGCTCCTCGGGCAGCAGTGTGGGGTTTGGATTCAGGTAGAACAGCGCTAAGCTGAGGCAGGAGAGGCCTTGGTCTAGGTCTCAGTGTCCCCATCTGTTCAGTGGAGGTGACTCCACCTCACAGGACTATTCTGGGTATCCCATGTGGTTATGGGTGAACATGCCTTGCCATTAAAAAGGAAAAATTTCAGCACATCACAATTTTGCCCAGAACCAAACTTTTCACATTCTTGAAGGTAACCAAAATAGCATTGTACTGGTACAATGACAGGCACATAGACCAATGGAACAGAATTGAGAACTGGGAAATAGACCCACCTATCTATGGTCAACTGATATTCTACAACAAAATCAAAGCTATCAAATGGGGAAATGACAAACTTTTCAACAAATGGTATTGGCAAAACTAGACTGCTACCTGCAGAAAACAGGAACAGGATCCACATCTCACACCATACACGAAAATCAGCTCAAGGTGGAACAGAGGCCTGGGAGTAAAGCTCAAAACCATAAATTTCATAAGAGACAAACTGGGATCAAGCTTAGAAGCAGTAGTCCAAGGTATAGAAACTGCCAATAGAGCCAGAACTGACAATCTGAAGAAGATAAAATTGATTAATGGAACCTTCTAAAGATTAAATCCCTGCACGCATCAAAAACTTTTTCCGACAGGGTGAAAAGAGAACCTACAGACTGGGAACAAACATCTCAGACAAGAGTCTC